TAGAGGAGATTCTCATGTTTCGAATGAGAAACAAGTAGGTTTAATTAACGGGCAATTTTAGAGTAACGATTCTACCAGCCAATTAAATAAAACATTGCTTCAGATACGTTAGCGAATTGTCGAAATTATTTCACTGATCGAACAGCTACTAAATTCAATCATAATGGCTAAATTAATATATTCCATAAAATCAATCATTTCCGGTAAGTAAAACTGATGAATTGTCGTTGATATATTGAACTACGAGCTAACTATATCAAACATTATTTCAGATGCGTTAAAGAATTGTCGAATCTATTCAAGCCATTAAATAAAAAAACATCACATACTACATCTTGATTACAGTAACAGCTACAAAATTCAGTTACAATGACTAAATTATTTTCCATAAAATCGATAATTTCTAATAAGTAAAACTAATGAATTGTCGTTGTCGACGAATAATAAGTTTCAAGTTATTTGTGCTTTATATTGTATCAGTCTCTTAATTAAAAGTTAATTCGTCAATTATCCCTAGTGAGGTCGAGTTAGGTGTTTTTCATTTCGATTGAAGGGAAAAGTAGAATTAGGTTCGAGAGATCAGCCACGACCTACATAGATGGCGAATTATGTGCCCCCGGAGCGGATCAGAGACCGAACCGGCCCGCAATACGTACTCGTCTAACGTCCGTGATCCTCGCGCGTCACCGTTTGATCTTGGTTACCCCTTGGTAATGCCCTCGTAAGTTCTCCGCGCCGCAGTCATATCTCCTCGGGTACCGTGCGCAACGCGCGCCGTGGAAACTTGGCGCGCCGTTAATCAACCGCAAGCCAGTGCTAATCGAGATTCAAATTTCGATAGGGGACGCTGGATCGAACTAGTTCCCGTTCCAACGTCGAACTCTGTGTAATTCTTTCGCCATTAATTCGAACAAGAATGGTACCTTCGAAATTAACGCTAGAACTACCGAGCATTTGATACGATTAATGTGCAATTCCTATAAAAATTGTAACAATAGATTATTTTCACTTTACTCGGGCGTTCATTATAGTACTCAACTGAAACTATTAACTTTCAAAATCATTTCGAATATTCAATGCTTCGAAAATATCAATAATTGTGAAATAAAAAGATCGAAACATTTTGACTGGTACGGTAGTTCTAGTGTTAAAGAGGAATATAATTCTATCGGATGTAATTGCTTGAAAAGATAAATAAGTATCGAATAAATCAATCAATTTTAAAGGAATCTATTAAATTCAGGTGAATATATATTTTTAGTCAAATTTTCTATATATCGATAAGTTACATACGCTTATTAGTGTGGCAATCAATTTCATTGCTAAATTAATTTTAAACGAACGTGCCACATGCATGTTCCCATTTCTTAATGAATCAAACAGATACATAAATAAATCATTAACCCTCATTCAATACCAAATGAAATAAACAGAAATAATCCATTCGAAATATCCTAAATTACGCGAAGAATCGACGAAATTTTCAATAATCGCGTTCCGACGATTTACATTAAAAAAGGAAACACAGATCGATCGGTCCGAATCGATCGTACGAATGAATTATCGGTAAATCGGGATCGCGGGCGGAAAACAGAAATTCGAACGAGAACACGTTGCACAGGGAAACGGTCGCACTGTTCCGATCGTGATTCTAATCAACGAAATCGCTCGATCAAATTCATTTAATGTCCGAACGAGTAATCCCGACCGCGCACGACGAAATTCGGACATCCATATTTAACGGTCCGCGATTGAGCGCGGCTCCCGCGCGCACGGTATCACGCGACGTCGATTACATTATCTAGCAATTGCATTGATTACACGTGTACACGTTCCCTCTAATTACGCACTTTGCTGGAACCGCGGCGCGCGGGCGCAGTTTGCGCGGCAAAACGAATTGGTCATAACGCGAACGCGGTATCCGCTAACTTATTTCCGCGCCCTGCCGGCGATTTATTCCGCGGGGCACGCGGACAAGCAAATATCGGGCCGGTAATTACTATAAAAGATTACGATAACACCCGGAACCCGTGTGTCCTCTCGAAAACGATCCGATTTACGGCGGCCGGTCGTTGTTTATTGCGCCGCGGACCGTTTAATGCCGGACGATGCGCTATGGCGCGTTTACACCGGGCGAATGTTCGTTTGCCCTCGGTTCGATGAAATTAAAGTACGAATGAACGTTTGTTTGGTTATAATAAATGATGCTAGGAGTTTAGATATTCGTTGATCGGTTGAGAGTCGCTGGAGTTTAGAGAGACTTGAATATTTGCGAGTGTCGGGTGAATTTTAGAGACAAATGTTTTCGAATATTTCCGAATGCTCGCTGGAAATTGGAGACAAACAGTTCGAGCAGTTGAATATTTGCGAATGCTCGCTGGACTTCGGAGATAAAGGCTCGGGTGAATATTATTTGCGAATGCCCGCTGAATTTTAGAGACAAATGTTTCGCCCGTGGAATATCTCCGCAAACATTCGAGACATGTGTCAAAGAATAGCGGTGCGCGTCGCGAAACAACGAAAACCTAAAGAAATAATTGTTAAGGCCACTTACAGCCTTAACGTTTCGTCCGACCCCTTAAAACCATCGTACCTTTTAGTTTGTATACACCTTTTATGTTTGCTACGGCTTATTGTACATTTGGTAGTTTTTTCGAAATAATAGGAGCCTTCGTCCCGTTCACAACTTGCAATCGTCTTTACGGTATTACGAGAAGGGACCGTGGCAGCCATAAATCCCTGAACCCATAAGGCCCGCGATTATTGCTGTAGATTTTCTTTGCCTATTGTTTACATCTGGTGTCCAGTCACCAGTATTTTTAACTCTCTTGCCCGTCCGTTAGCATGTGTTTCTAAGGCCAAGCGTTTCTTGCTTTTTACCTGCCACGGTCGGCGATTGCAAACGGGACGAATTAGTTATTAACTTTAGCAACTAGGAAGACTAGAAGGGAAGGGATTGTGTCTCCCTTCCACAACCATTTTCAGATCGAAAAGGGCCAACCAGAACGTCTTCACCCCCGTGAAGACGACATTGCGGAGGTGTCGTCGAAGACGATTCTGGGAGGCCCAGGGAGTCGAGAATAGCGAGTCGAGAATAGCGAGTCGAGAATAGCAGTCGAGAATAGTCAGTCGAGAATCATAGTTGGAAACAAATAGTCAAACAAGCAAATAGAGAGCATCGAACATATTTCGAGTCACTACACTGATTTTCACAAGTAAATACAGTCCACTTCACAAACCTAAAAATTCGCACAAAGTTAATTCGGCGTGCGACGTACTAGTTTAACTACCGAACATAGTCGGTGGAAAACAAGGTACACGACAATAATATCAAAATCTATTGTTTAGAGTAATTTTTAGTAATTCAATCCATTATTCAAGGAATCAGTGCACTTACCAAGGAAGATACAACCGAAATTTCCGGCGGCACGGAATGCGTTAGAGAAACCGACGTTCCTCCTCGAGCGACACGACTCAAAGCCCAGAAAACTCGAAGCTCGACAGCCACGTACGGAAGACAGCGGGACGCGATCACGCAATTTCGCAGTGCATGTTCCTCGGAGCGTCGAGGGACTGCCCGGAAAAACCGAATCAAACGGAACACGGTCAATGCGCGGGGAAACCTGGGCAGCGTGGAATTGAAACGAAGAAATGAATGAAACCGTGGGAGCCTGAACGACTTCGCGGAAGGTAGCAACGAAGAATGGCTCTCGTGCGCAGTTCGGTTAATCAATCACTCGGCCGCGGCTCTCTTTATTCGCCGATGCCGAAACGGGAGACGTATAAACCGTCGTCGGCGCCGATTTAACAGCGATGAAATATCGCGAGTGCCGTTTCGCTTTATAACGCCGGTTATTAAGAGGGCTGCCAACAATTTCACGGTCCATTGTGCCCCGAGTAAACGCGCCGGGGCGTGCGGCGCTCGGTCTCCGTATCGCTGGGAGGAATCACTCGCGAGATGTAACGCGTTAAGGTCATCGGCCGTCTAGCCGGCTCATCGTTGCATGCGCTCGCTGCTGCCGACCGTTTAGCAACGTAACGCCAGTCGAATAACGCTCGCAGACATAATTTCGGACTTTCTGCGGTATTTAATCCTTTGATGTACAGAGGCGACTCTCAGTCGCGAATTGATTGGACACAGCATTGTAAATAAACATTGCGAGGTATGACAATTACCATTAAACTTTGCGCAATGCAACAATTGAGATAAAGTAGTTTTGTTCCTCGGTTTACGCGCGATTTCTCGGGGTAGTTTCAGAAAATATTTGCCTCGTCGGAGAATGTTAAATATTTCTAGTAAGAAACCTCCGAGTGCAAAGGGTTAATGTGAGGAATGGGTATATCACCTTCGACGGAAGTTGATCAGAGGAAATAGTGAATTAATGGGAAATAGTCAATGATAATGGAAAGTTGAAACAATAAGTAATGATACGATTATTGCGTGTACGTCTGAGTTACTGTCGATTCGTTAGATAATGGTAACGTTTGTATTCCTAAGAAAGTGTATTCAAACCATAAAAACACTGAACTAAATGAAACCAACCTAAATTAATCACCTTATACAATGTACGATTGACGGAAGATTCACTCGCGTCAGATTATTGTCAATAACATTTGACGGCCGCTTTTGGGCGCCGACAGTGCACAGAAACCAATGTTTCAAGCCTTTAGGCGCCAACAGTAGGCAAAAGGTTAAATGACCGACGACCTTTGCCCCGCGAAAATCCTCTGGCACCGACTCCACCAAGGAAATAGGCAGCGCTCGTTACCATCCGCGAATCGCTATCGTTTCGCGTCGCTGACACGCGGCACACACTCCTCCGCGATGAATCGCAAGTTTTCCCCGCATTTCCGCGTAACTCTTGCCCGTGGAGACGCGCCAGAAAGTTTCGCGGAGCTCGGGCAACTTCCATCCACTCGAAGGACAAACGTCTCGATCGGCCAACTTGGTCGGCGGTGTTGCTCGTCGGGAAATAATCGGTAGGGAAGCTGCGACTCACCCTGATTCTTCTTTGACTCCTTCCTCTGGCCGACCTTCGCTGGTCCCGGGGATGAATGGAGCATCCGGAGGGAGAGACCGGTTCGCCTACATCTCGGATCGCTTCGATCTGCAACAGAAGAAACTTTCATTTCAGAACGCGTGCCGGCAGGGTGAAAAATCTGCGGGCGAAACGGAGGTTTCTTGGGACCCAGAGTCTGGCTGGCACTTGGCAAGAATTCTCTTGCGCCGGAACAGAATTTTCTTGCCATTCAGATGAAAATTTTGAAAATTGGGTCGGCCGGAGAATTCTCTTGGAATTGGGTTAAGTTTATTCTGCGTTGGTAAATTTTCTTGGGATCGAGGAGGAATCTTGCGGTTTGAGCCGGGATTCTTCTGGGTTTTAGAATAAGGTATCAGAGTTTCTATGGTTTCAAGTGCTCGGTGGTTTGAATATTTCGATCGTTATGTTGGTCAATGTTTATAGTTGATACGTAAGAATTTTTGAGAGTGATTCTGCAACAGGGGAAACTGGAATAGAGTAAAGTAACCGAACAATCGATGCATTGTTTCTTTTTCGCTGTTTTTTTGAAGAAAACAGATGGCGAAGGGAGCAATCGCAAGTTCTAAACATTGCACGATAGTTGTCCAAACGTCCTAACTTTTCAACTTACAATCCAACTTCCCGTCAGACATCAAACTACCGCCATCCTTCCAACGAGGCATCGCAGACAAAACACCATTTCATTCGTCATCCTCGAAAACAACAACTCTGCGAGCCGCGTTTCAAAACTCCATTGTTCGCGACGCGTGGCCGTCAACGTCTAAATATTTGCGCAGCGAGAAATTAATTGCACGAGTGTTTGGCGAACGCGGCCAGTGTATCGGCGACGGCGTCATTGGGATACGCGCGTCCTCGCGACAATAACGCCGGCGACGAGAATGGCCGCGGCCGTGAAATGAACTCTGTCGCGCAGCGAGCTGCTCTGTCGACTCGATTATTATTAAAATTAATTGATCTCGTTCGGTGGGCTCACTTTAAATTCTGTCAACTTTGGAGAATGCGAGTCGTTTATTGTGTTTGGAGGTTACCCCTTTGACGGTTATCCCTAATTAGCCGATATTACTATATGATTACCTGTTAATAACAGAATATACTGATACTTTAGACCTGATATGTTTCGCAGTTATTTATGCTTCTATAAAGTAGACCAAGCAATAATATCATAATTAAATATCTTCTAACTATTACGTTCAATAAAAAGTAAAAAAATAAAAACTCTCGAGTAGTTGAGATTGATAAGACGTAGAATAATTAAATTATCAAATAAAACAGGACAACGTGGAACAGAAATTACTCTCTATTCAGTCAAAGTAGACTGACGTAGTTTTCTATAAAGTAGACCAAACAATAATATAATAATTAAATATCTTCTAATTATTACGTTCAATAAAAAGAAAAACACAAAGACTCTTAAGTAGTTAAGGTTCATAAGTCACAGAATAATTAAATTAATCAAATAAAACAGGACAACGTGGAACAGAAATTACTCTCTATTCAGTCAAAGCAATGAATTCCATTTTGAAAAATGTCTGCCGGTCGCGACTCGACAGTCGACGTGTTAATCACGTAATTGCCGGAGTTCTACGCTCGCGAGAATTTTGACGAGCGGTCGATGACACGAAGGATCCACGACCCCGTTCACGCCGGATCGACCCAATTCGAACTTTCG